TTCATGTGCTTGTTAGCCATCTGAATGTCGTCTTCGGTGAAGTGCCTGTTCATATCCTGTGCCCATTTTTCTATTGGATTATTAACCTTTATCTTAAATAGGAGGCCAAATCCAGTCAGCTCACACCCTCTTGCGAGCAAGAGCCACACCGTATTATCACCCCTAAACCAGAAAATACACCTTTACAGAATCCGGTCATTCCACTCATCTTCACTTGTCTGTCAGTTTGTCATTCTGTAGTGACTTGGGTATTGCTATTGAGTGAGTGGTGAGGAAAGATTCCGACTTAGTGTCATTTAAGTCCATCCTTTAAATCTCTGCTCTATGGGATTATTTTGTATATATCTTAATACTGCATCTCTGTTCTAACTGGTACCTTCCATTGTGTCCTCTGGTCAGAAGGGGTGTCAGTGGTAGCCAGGCACCATCTAGCTCTTCTGGTCTCAGGTAGGAGAGGTAGTGGTTCGTGTGGGCCATGGGTCCTATTGTTACAGGTAGGAGAGTGGTGGGTCGTGTGGGCCACTGGTCCTGTGGATACAGGCCAGTAGAGGTGGTGGGTCGTGTGGGCCATTGGTCCTGTAGACAGACATCTTGCTGATATCTTCGGTTTCTTTCATGTCCCTTTGCTCCAGATGAGACGAGCCCAATAGCTGTGTCCTCATTTGCCACCCTCAAGGTTTTAAGACCCCAGACGCTACTCAACAAATTAGGTTGTCAGAACATTATCTTTGTAAATTGTTAGGCCAATTGACATTCTCTAGGAGATGATGATTCTGAGCCCTCAAACTCAGTAAATTGACCCATGAGGTATTTGGATATGTGTAGGAAGTATTCCTAACTGTAGTACCTAAGTGTTTTCTTGTGTCTGAATAAATCCACAACTCATACAAGCCTGTGTATATGTACAAAGGTGTATACAATTATTGCCATATTTGCATGTGGCCATGCTCCCATATGTTTTCTATATGTATTTACCCAGGTTACCACTCACATTATTACTTACTGCTGTTGCAAAATTTTATGTATTTTATCTTTTACTAGAGTTGTCCTCTGTTGTTTGTGATTTGAGTGGAAGTGCACAAAGCAAATTAACTTTTCTTTTGCCCATTTGTACACATTTTGTTCTGCCACATTCACGTCAGTACCCCCAGTGTTTACCTGCAGGTCACTTTGGTGATTGTGGGCACCTCATTCTGGCTTGCCTCTCAGTATCTCTGGGTACCTCAGGAGGGATGTGCTGATTTCCATACTGCATATGGCCTTTCCCATCACTGGAATTGGCCTGTGTCTAATACTTAATGATGCCCTCTCCTGCCACTGCCCAGCTCTGGTAACCACCAAAAAATGTTTCTTTCTATGTGTGTACCCACCCCTGACTTTTTATAAAAGTGGTGTGGTGTCAGGCAGTGTGTTAGCATAACGGCTTCCAGAGTCATCCATGAAGTTTCACAGACTCATCACTATTCTTTGCATAGTTAATCCATTGTATGTTTATACCGCGATTTCAGCGTTTATGTGCTAAAGGGCACTTAGGTTATTCCATCTTTTGGCTGTTGAATGCTGTGTGTGTGAGTATCTTACACTTAGAGCATTTCTATCTAGGATGGAGGTGGCTGGATCATCAGATATTTCTATTTCTTGCTCTTTTGAGGAAGCACTAGACCATTCTTTCCTAAGTGGTGGTAGCATTTTCCAATCCCAGTAGCAATCAGTAAGGATTCCAGTCCTCCCGCATCCTTGTCAGGATTTGGTCTCATTTTTAAAATCAGTGCTATTTTTCAGGCGTGAGGTGATGTCTTATGGGTGTTTTAATTTGCATTTCCCTTGGAGACAAGGATTTTGAGGCTGCATCTCACATACATTGGGCATGTTGAAGGAGGGACCAGTCCTTGATGGAGGATATCATGCTTGGATGGGTGGAGGGAAAGCGCAGGAGAAGAAGACCCAGGATGAGATGGATTGTCACAGTGGCTGGGGTAATGGGGGTTAGGTATGTCGGAGATGGTGAGATTGGCTCAGGACAGAGCAGGGTTCAGAGCTGTTGGGCATAGGGTCACTATAAGTAGTGGTCAGCAAGATAGCACATAATGTGAGATAAAAAAGGCCATGGAGAACAAGATGAAAGGAAACAAAGGAGTTTATTGCCAGCTCTCAGGTGAAATTCCACAGTCCCAGGCCAGAGGGAGGCAGTGGGAATGGGAAGTTGCAAGTGAGGAAATTACAGGCCAAATTTTATAGGTAGGGGTTGGGGGTAGGGTGGTTAGCTCGGTGGTCAGCTCTCCATGGAGGATGCTGATTGGACATCCTCTGTTAGTTCCCAAATATGGAGCTGCTCAGTTCTTTTAGGTGGATTGTGTCATGGCTGATGGTTGAGCAGGATGTGGCTGGTGGTTGTGCTCTCTTCTGATTGGCTGTAGTCGCTTGACACCTGGCTGATCGGAATGTCTCTCATAAGGTGCAGTTAGAGTGGAATGTCCCCTAGCTCCCAGGTGACCTTACACATAACACTACCACTCCAAATGAAAATGTGTTGGGTGCCTCACTGTCCTTTGGTGAAGGGTCTGTTCATGTCCTTTGACTTTTTTTTTTGTCTTTTCAGTTGTTGAGTTGCTGAAGTTTTTTATTTTGGAGATTAGATCTTTGTCAGATATGTTGTTACCAAAAATGTTTGCCAGTTTACAGGTTGTTCTTTTTATTCTTTTGGTAAAATCTCTCCATGAGCATGAATATTTCACCTTTAGGGAGGTATCTAGTGTTAGCTTCTACTTGAGCACTTACCACAGTTGTGTTTGATCTTGTATTTATATGCTAAAATTAGACTTCCTGCCTCTGTCCCACGTTACCCTGTGGGAATTGTATAGTTTCAGCTTCATTCTATGGGTCTGGGGTCTGTTTGACTTTTTGTGGATGATGTGAGTTATGGATCCTCTTTTGTTTCTGCAGATGGATCATCAGCTTTGCTAGCAGTATTTATTAACAATACTGTCTCTTCCCCACTGGGTGGCCTGTGACACTCTGGGGAGGTCATGTGTCGATGGGTGGGTCTGTGCTCCATTGGTCTGCAGGTCTGCCACTGAACCAGGACCAGGCTGTTTGGATGGCTGTGGATGTGTAGTCGTTTCTGGGATCAGGAAGAGGGAGCCCTGCCGTTGTTCTTCAGTGATACTTAACTCCACCCTCTTTCTTTCCAAGGGCACTCTGGTGGCCTAGTGGGTAGGGAGTTGTGCTCCCAACTCAAAGGTACACAATTTGAATCCATCTGCTGCTCCCTGGGAAAAGGATGGGCAGTCTCTTCCCGTATGATTTATTGTTTCTGAAAACCACTAGAGGGTGGTCTGTGAGGCAGTTCCAACTCAACAGCTAAGAGAGATTTTGGATTTTTCCCCCCCTTTGCATATAGCTGGAGATTAGCTTTTCCATTTCATTAAAGATGGTTGTTGGGATTTTGACTGGGATTCCATTATAGTCATAGATTGCTTGAGAAGTGGTATTGACACTCTCACTGTGTTAAGTGTTCTTAACTCTGAGCATGAAGCGTTCTCCATTTATGTAATTTTTCTTGTATTACATAAGTTACAGTCCTGGTTGGATGTATTCTAAGTGTTTTATCTGCTGGGAACTCTGTACATGGTATTGTTTTCTTGATTTCCTTTTGGCGTTCTCCCTATTACTAGAGGTGAACCGATCGGATTTCTACGTGCTAATTATCTCCCCTGTCATTTTGCTGAGCCCCTGCTCATTTCAGGCACTCACTTGGCCATCTCTGGGGTTGTCTGTGTGCAGGAATACGTCGACTGTGGGTAGGGATGGCGTTTCTTCTTGCTTGCCAATTTAGATTCCTTTTATTTGCCTTTTGGTGTGGTTAGAACCTCTAGAACACTGTGGGAAAAGAGTGGTGAAAATGGGAATCCTTGCCCCATCCCTGTATTCAACGTGGATGGTTTCTGTCTCATCTGTTGAGAATGATGTTGGCTATTGGTTTGCATGCTGGTCTGCATGTTGCTAAGTCCCATCAGTTTGGTTCCCACCCACAGCAGTCTTACACACCACAGACTGGGATGCTCCTGACAGGGCACCCTCCCAGTCTCTGCTGCCTCAAGTCCTGGCTGCACGGACTGTGTCAATCCATCTGCTCCCATGGTCCCTTTTTTCCAGTGACCCTCTGCTTTAGCAAGCATGGTATCTTCCTCCAGGAATCAGTCCCCTCTTAATAACATGTCCAAAGTACATGAGACCAAGTCTCACCTCTTGGCTTCTTGGCACACTCTAGCTGCACTTTCTGCAGCATAGATTTATTTAACAGTCCATATCACACCCGAGCCACAATTCAAAGGCATCAATTCTTCTTCCCTCTTCCTTATTCATAGTCCAACTTTGACATGCATATGAGGTGATGAAAAATATCCTGGCTTGGGTCAGGTGCACCTTAGTCTTCAACGTGACATTCATGCTCCTTGTTATTAGGTGCCATCAAGTCAACTACATCTCTTAGGGACCTTAGGAACAACAAACCGGAACCTTGCCATAGTCTACGCCATTGTCATGATCCCCACCGTACTTGACCTCATTGTTACAGTCACTCCATCACTTTGAGGGCCTTCCTCTTCTGCTGAACCTCCACCTTTTCCAACATGATGTCTTTTTCTAAGGCCTGGCCCCTCCCTCCTCACAACATGTCCAAAATATATGAGATGAAGAGCCAGGCAAAATGAAAACCTTGACACTTTCAATCTTTTGTCTGAGTATCATGTTGTTTCCTGGCTTAGTTAGGAGTATTTCTGTTTCACTCATCTCCATCAGTACAAACTTCAAGTCCTGTTTGTTTTCTCTGAGCAAGGTTATATTATCTGCATATCATATTGTTAATGGATCTTCATAGTCTTGCTTCTTGGATTATATTTGCTCAGCATACAGATTGTCTAGTTACAGTGAAAGGATATTACTTTCCTGGCTTTAAACCATGCACTGTTCCCTTGAACTACTGCTTCTTGGTCCATGTGTAGGTTCTGCATGAACACAATTGTTCTATTCCCATTCTTCTTACGTTTAAACATAATTTGTTGAGATCCACACAGCTAAATACTTCTGATGTTAACAGTATCCTTGCTCCTAATTTTCTGTGCTGAGTTCTAATATATGGGGTTTCATTCTGCATCATTTGTTGTTGATTTTGCATTAACTGTGTCTTCTTCATTTTGGTGAGATTTATTCATTTTCTTTCTTGCTACACTCAACTTTACCTTTAGCCTCTTAAATTTAAACTTGACGTCCTTTCATAGAACGGTTCCATAACTTATTTTCTTTCCGTGTGGATTTCTATGGCAGTCTCCCCTCTTGAAAATCCCTTTATGTGAGGAGAAGACAGTTCAGAGATCCCGTTCAAGTCATTGTCTGCAGGAATCGAGGAAATAAAATTCATGGAGACAGATGATGTGTCCAAGTGCTAACAGTTTATCAGATACCATTCTAAACACTGGTGGGTATTAACTCACTTAACGCAGAGCTCAGAAACAGGGATAATGAACTACACTCCAGGTCAGGATTCAGGAATATTTTTGTTTGTTTGTTTAAAAAAAAATAGGTTGTAATGCTTTGTTCAGCGGTACTTCTGGGCTATGTAAAGTTCAGTGGATTGTAGGTGGGTTTATGATCCCTGTGTATAGCACGTTTTGTAGAGGATTGGGTTTCCATAAACCACTGTAAGAGCTCTTAGATTGCCTAATGTATATGAAGTTCAACTCTCTCTCTCTCTCTCTCTCCAGTAGGCATGCCATACTTAATGTTGTTATGTGTCACTGAATCACCTGTGATTCATGACGACCCTATGTACAACAGCTCTGAAGCCCACCCTGTTCTGAGCCAGTCTCACTGGCTCTGACACACCTACCCTCAGTATTCTGGTTACTGTGTCAATCCATTCTCACCCAGGGTCTTCCTCTCCTCTGCTGTCCCTCCACCCTTCCGAGCATGATAGCCTTCTCCAAGGACTGGCCCCACTTGGCCAACTGCCCAAAAATGTGAGACGGAGCTTCAAAATCCTAGCCTCCAGGCAGAAACTTGGTGTCACCCTTTCCAAGACAGACATGTCTGTTTTCCTGGAGGTTCAAGACTCTTCTCCAGCACCACAGCTCAAGGGCATCGATTGTTTTTCTGTCATCCTGTGTAATGTTTCAGGTTACTGAAATACTTCTTTGTCTTTTTGAAGTTTTGCTCCAGACTATTACGAGTGGGGACAGCAAGCTAACAGCTTCAGGGCACAAGCAGGACCTTTACAAGATGCACCTCTGGATCCTGCCAAGACGAGCCATGGGTAGCATCAACTCACAGGACCGTAGAGACGCCTTCCCTGAAAAGCTCTGTAGCGACAAGCCTACTCACAGCTCAACTTCTGGGGCACTTTTCCTAAGGAAATTGGACTTGATTTTTCTCTGTTACAGGTTTCTGGTGGCTCTATACAACTAAGCAATAATTTAGATTAGTAAGACCTTAAGTTAGTACTAAAAAGTGAGCCTGGATATTTCAGTGAGTATAATTTAAATGTTTTATAACTGTACTTTTATAAAGATGTGTTTTATATAACTTAATAATAATAATAATAATGCTAAAGTATTCTAGGGTTTTTTGCCCCCCCATAATGTTATTGCAATATGTTTTCATTTGCACAAACTTTTATGCATAATTCACTTTAAAACAGTGCAGTATACAGTCTGATTATTTTTAAGCTCTGGACTGCAGTGTTCTATCTTTACCTCTTTAGGTCCCCACGAGTGGGCATTCTCTATCAGGACTCTTCTCACAGCTAGAGCTGCTGTTGCAGTGCCCGTGTTGAATTCTGACATAATAATGGAGGATCAACAGAGTGCTGGGTAACTGGGAGCCCCTGGTGATGCACATGGTTAAGCATTCAACTCCTAGCCTAAAAGCTGATGGTTCAAACCCACCCAGAGGTGACACAGAAGCTAGGCCTGCCTGTGAAGGGTCACAACCTTGAAACCCAATCACTGTGTACACGTGGGGTCACTGTGAGTCCCAGGCTACTCAGAGGCAACAAATAAGAAGATTTAATAAGAAGGCTGCTTAGAGATTTTTTTTAATCTTAGAAATGATTCAGGGCGCTCTGGTGGCTTAGTGGTAAGAAGTTGTTCAGGCGATCGGCATTCCCCTCCTGTAATCAGATTACTCTCTCCACAATGTCTTAAATTTGCTAAAAGTTTGGTAGTTCCTGCCAGCAAAGTATTGACATATACAGTTTAATGGTAGCAAGGCAATAAGGTATACAGAGCTGACTTACATGATTAAACCCCTTCTGTTATGTTCATAGAAATTTTGCACACTTTACAGCCTAGTGAAATCTCATTTCCATTAACTCAGAACTAGAGCAAAACTGTAGCTTTTCCAGCTCACAGACTTTGCACTGCCCTCCAGGGGGAAATACCGAGTTCCAAAAAGGGGATTCATAGTGAGCACTCCTGGCTCTTGAGTCTAAAGGTGGATGTGAGTTTTCTTTCTGTAATCCTCAGATAACAGTGCCCTTCATCCTGTAATAACTCGAAGTAGCACTGAATTCTGTGTTCAAAATGAGAAGATTACAACATGCCTTAGGATGTGAGTCTTCACCATCATAAAACACATTCCAGACTATGGCTTTGTGGGGTGTGTCTCGTTTAAATGGAAAACATGTCACAAAATGCTGTTTCCCCAAGCGGAAGAGCGGTTCTAACCTGAGCTACGTGTAGATTTTAGCCATAGAACAGCCTATGATGGGAGACTGTGAAACACTGATTTTCTACAAAACAGAAGGTGCTGAGCAGCTCTGTTACCAGGAAGTGTCTGTACACTCCCCCTGCTGTTGGTTGATGTTCGGTTGGAACCAACTTCATAGCTGACTTCACAGCAGGTTTTCAGAGGCAAATTGCACGAGAGGCAATTGCCTGTCCGCTCATGGAGCAGCTGGTGGATCAGACCCGTGCCTTTAGGATTGAAGCACAGCTTCTTAATACTAGACCACCAGGAAATCTTAAATCTCAGGAGAGAGAGGGGCAGATGAAAAGGAATTTTCCTGCCCACAAGATAAAGCCCACTTCACATGACTCTAGAAATGGTTTCTCTCTTGGCATGGATTTCACAGAGCGCGCATCTGTTTCTGTGATTTTGGTAGTATTTAAAATTGGTGTGTGGTTGGTTTGTTTACTCCACTTTTCCTCTGCATAATCCCACATCCCTACGTTCTTGCCCTTTACTAAACAGAAGAGCACGGGTTAGCATCATTTGAATAACTGCCTTGTCAGGGAAAATCCACACTGAGGCACAGTCTGCACCAATGACTCAGGCCGCCTCAGCGGAAAGCATTCCAAGTTATTATTGTAGCTAGCTTTAAGATTAGGGTGACAGAGTTCCTGTCACTAGGGGTGTTTAAGAGGCAGACTGGACATCAGCTTTAGCTGCGCCCACGGCCCCCAGGTCAGCTTCAGTTTTGGTTTCAGAAGCTGCAGTTTTCCCTGGGAGGAGTTTGTCCTGTTTTCTCTCTGGGAGCAGTCAAGGGATTTGAATATCTGACCTTTCAATCTGCAGCCTAACACATAACCTCACATCACCAGGGCTTTCTATGTGGAAGTGACTCATATACAACCCCCTGCCCCCAGAAGATTATTGGAGACATTAAATCACAGGAGGAGACTGCCCCATCTCTCCCTCAGAGCAGCAGTGGATTCGAGCCACCAGCCTTTGGGGGTGGCAGCACAATTCTTTACAGACTAGGCCACCCGCGCACCTGACACAGAGGATCCGTAATGTAAGACTCTGCAGGTATGCTATAAAGGATTTCTTTTACTCCATTTGGTTTGGTTTGGGTTTAGATTGATGACTGAAATCATGCAGCTGTGATGTCCATTCTAAGTGTAAATGTCATTGACTGTTCTGTAACTAGGGGCAGGGACAGCTGTCACAGCTAGGCTTCCTAATGAATGCCAGTCGACTTTGATGGTAAAGCTGCTATTATTTACTTGAAATGTTTTTCTTCCTTCTAGAAAAATGGTAGTAACACACCAATATTGCAGACTTACACTAGGAGAGAAAAAGTTGTATCACATTGTTTTTTCTCACAGTAAATGGTCTTGTATACCCAGGAAATGTGGCAGGAACTGTGGGAAGAAATGGAAAACTTCCTCTAGCATCTTCATTTCTCTGTGCTAAGTCTACTAATAAAGCTCGTCCTCAGTGTAAAAGACCAAATGCTGAGAAAAAAACAGAATGGTGATTACTGGTTCACAAGTACCCAAGGTAGCACCTCTTTATTTTTCAAACAATACAGTTCAGAAGTGAGAAATACATGAGGATGTCACTGAAAATGTGGTCCTGTCAACTGCCTGATGAACAAAGGGCTCGCGGGCGTCTCTGTGTTTAACTTCTGTAACTAAGCCTGTAACTGCTCAGTCATAGCCCACTCCTCACAGACACTCCAGCGGGTTTTCAGAGGCTGTAGATCGCATGGCGCCTTTCTCTCTGGGAGCAGCTGGTGGATTGGAACTACCTGCCTTTGGGTGGGAAGCGCAATTCCTTACCCACTAGGCCACCAGAGTGGGACCGTCATCTCTGCAGTTACTGTCTAGTGAGACCTGTGACTTGTGGAAGTGTCCTTCACTGCTGCTGCTTTTTATAGTCAACCTGTTTGAATTGATGATTAGAGCACGTGGTGTTACACACTGACTTGTGGACTGTGAGGAGCTTTTACTATTCCATTACAGACATCAGTCACATTCACTTATGCCAACTAGTGCTCGAGTTTGTTGGGAACATTCTTGGTAACTGTGCTGGTTGGCAGCGTTCGTTAGCTGCCTAGATCTACTCACTGCTAGATCCCTAACTTTCCATCAAAATCCACTGGAATTACACATTATTGGACTTGAACACTTAACCCCAGTGATTATGAAACTTTAGTACACTTCGGAGCAGGGAACCCTAGTGGCACAGCTTTCTTGAGTTCATAGAGTTCTTGACAGTTAACTCCAGTTGCCGTGTGGGAGGAAGAAGTGGCAGGCTTGTGGGTGGATTTCCAGCCTTGGAAATCGTCAAGGGAAGCTCTCTTACTAAGAAGTTTGTAAGGAAAATGTTCATTACTAAGACAGTGGCTTTAGCAGAATCTTGGGGGTTTTGTTAACAATAAAGGCACACTTACTCTCACCACTGGGCCAACTGGCAGCACCATGATGGATGGAGAAGAGATTGAGGTTAACAGTTACAGCTTGCTCGGCTCCACAGTCAACACTCTTGGCACCAGCAGTCAGGAAATCAAAACAGTAATAGCACTGGAAAAATCGGCTGTCAGGGACTTCTCCAGAATTCTGAGAAGCATGAATCTGTCTAGAGACTAAGGTGCGCCTGATCCAGGCCATGGAGTTACTTGCTGTGCATCAGAGAGCTGGTCAGTGACTAAGGATGACAGAAGAATTATTGATGCCTTTGAGTTGTGATGCCAGAGAAGTCTTGAACATACCATGGACTGCCAAGAAAACAAATAGTCTTGAAGAACATGGAACCAAGTTTCTCCTTGGAGACTAAGATTTTGAAGCTCTTATCTCACATACTTTGGGCACATGGTGGGACCGGTCCTTGGAAAAGAACATCATGCTCAGAATGGGGAGGGACAGTGCAGGAGAGGAAGATCCAAGATGAGATGGATATGGTAACTAAGGCAGTGGGAGTTAGTGTGTCGAGTCAGTGAGACTAGCTCAGGAAAGGGCAGGATTCAGAACTATTGTGCATAGGGTCGCTATGAATTGCAGGCAGTTCAATAGCACATAACATATTAAAACTTAAAAGGATTGAAGTATTTGAAACATAATCAAGATTTCCAAAGGAAAATAGATTTAAAAACCAACAACCCAACACTGCTTGCACATTGAATATAGGCTAGTGTAACTGACCAGAAATCCATCTAATACGCTTTTCCATTTTTCATCCTTTGTGAGAATATTTTAAAAACATTTCTAACTGACCCTGATGCTACTTAAGATTTGTCGTGGTCAGATGAAAAGGAGCTGCTGGACAGGGTCGGCTGAAGTAGACTTCTCATCAGAGCCAGAGTGACTGTGTGTCAAAGTTCTGCAACACAAGGCTTATTAAAAACAGAGCAGTGAACTTGAGGGGCTGGAACCCCATCTGTTTACAGAGAACTTGCTGTGCAAACAGACCTCTAGGAAGCTTAGGATGCTAACCTAAAGATGACTGGTTCAAATCCACCAGCAGCCCTATGTGAGAAAGCTGGGCAGTCTCCCATGCGCTTTACAGCCCCTGAAAACCTGGAGGCTCAGCTCTG